TACATTTTTGAATTGATTTTATCTTAACCTTTAACTTTTTGACTTCATTTTTTATTTTTTTTCTAATGTTGTCAATTTAATAAGTTTTGAATTCATTTTCTCTTCTATTTTAAATAACAGATTGATATTTTAATGGTGATATTATCAAGGTACGTGATAAATGTTCAACATCTTTAGTCTTTCTTGTTTGTTTGTTAGCTCAAAACGTTTAATTTTTTTAATCCCTTTGTTACCCCTAGTTTATATTTTAGTTATTCTAGGACCCCTCCCAAATCATTTGGCCTATCATTTTGGTAAGACTATACATTGCTGAATTTTGTGTGACAAGTACACAAAGGGAAAACACTAACGAAACAATACCAAATTTGTATGGGTACTAGTTTCGACATTTCAGATGTCCTTTTCAGTTCAACGTAGGCCCGGCATGGCCAGGTGGTTAGGACGCTCTTCTCGTAATCTGAGGGCGTTATAATGTGACGGTCAATCCCACTGTTTGTTGGTAAAAGAGTAACCCAAGAGTTGGCGGTGGGTGGTGATAGCTAGCTGCCTTCCCTATATTCTTACACTGCTAAATTAGGGACGGCTAGCGCAGATAGCCCTCGTGTAGCTTTGCGCGAAATAAAAAAAAACAAACAAACGACGTTGTTGGTAAAAAGATCCTCGATAACATACGGATTGCCGTCCCTAATTTAGCAGTGGGAAGGCAGCTAGTCATCACCACCCACCGCCAACTCTTGGGCTACTCTTTTACCAATGAATAGTGGGATTGACCTTCACATTATAACGCCCCACCCACCCCCGGCTGAAAGAGCGAGCATGTTTGATGTGACGGGGATTCTAACTTGCGACCCTCAGATTGCGAGTCGAGCGCCCTAACCACCTGGCCATGCCAGGCCTAACAACGTCGTGAACCCAAGAATAATTTGGTACATAAATACATTTAAATAATGTGTTTAAAAGTTCGATGGGAGGTGTGTACTTATCGATAATTCTAAGGTTAATTGTTATTTGGATAAAATATATAAAACTTCCCCTTTATTTCAATTAATATAATTACATTTTTATATTTAATACTCAGTAATATAAATTTTCCAAACCTATGAGATTTTTGTGAATATAAATCTATTGACAAGGAAGATATTTACAAAACTAAAGTATAGTTCCGTGACACTTATCATTGCAGAAAACTCATATATTTCATCTAGTATGTTCAGTGACTTTTAAATATTAGCTCATAAACAGTTATTTTATCGCTTCTTAGGGAAGTTTGTGAAGCTACAACCCTCTGGTGGTTATTATAAAAATACTTTATTAAGATTAGCCCTCCACAAGAAATACAAAATTTAATGTCATCCCGAAGTAACTTGCTTGAGCATTAGGTTTGCAAATTTGTATACTTAACACATAAAACTTTAGACTTTTTCTGTAAAACTTTATATTAAGAGCAGAAACTAGAGCTCATCTAATAAGTTTTTAATGATCAGAAATATTTCTCTTCGTTTTCTTAGGTTCAACTCTACCAAAATTGCATGGAGTTCTACATTTCTCGGGTAAATAACTCAAGTTTTTTTACGTATAATTTGATCATCAATTTAATGTTTTATTACAAATAAATGGTTAAACGAAAGTATAATTAAGGTATTTCTCATTTATATACATAAATTCGCGTGTTGTTTAAAGATACAGAGGGGTATTCGTGATCTATGGTAACAATTCAAGGACAAGTGAATAGTCCTAACAAGCTCTTCTTCCATTACCAATGATACAAGTGCCTAGTCCTAACAATCTCTTCTTCCATTACCAATGATATACTATGTGACTTCCGTTGTTTTCTAGTACGAGAAGGACAAGTGCCTGGTCCTAACAATCTCTTCTTCCATTACCAATGATATCATATGTGACTTCCCTTGTTTTCTAGTACGAGAAGCTTTTTCGCAACACAGAGAGACTACGTTTGAACAATCCAAAGTTACAGAAGTCCACAGTAGGTGTCTGCAAAGGATATAGCGTAACATTCCCATTTGTACTTGCATCTTGAAAACGAACTGATGCTTTTAATTGAAAGTGTAGCCAGATGCTTTGTCTTGATGGAGACATCATATTAGCATCTAGTCTGTACAAAGATTGTATTTTCGAGCGGTATAACGGTGTCAGAATGTTGACTTGATAGAGGAAGAGTTCACTTTTGCATTTATTTTCTCTTGACTTTCTGAAAGTTTAACTTACCATAGTAACTGCAACCTATAATCACAATAAACCCCTTAAAATCTTTCTTGACATACTCTGTACCATTTTTTAATCATTATAACACCAGAAAAATGATAACAAATTGTTCAGACTTTTGCAAACACTTAAGCAAATATATGTTCCGTCTAAGGCGACAACATATTTCCTTTTGTCACATGCCAGATGCTGCTCATTCAGCTTTTGACAGCTGGTATTCATATGATGTGGGATTGCCTCTTATGTCACTTATACTAAAATCATTGTAAATTATCTTCTTTATAGTTCTAACGAAGATTTGTATTTATTCGGAATGAACCATTGTGTTCTTGGATTCCTTTCAACAAGAAGTTATTTAACTTCCTTCACCACCCAGGTGTGCGATTAGTAGCCACTCATGGAGTAGTCTGCTTTTGATCTGCCAGAGTTACACTGCTTTATCTTTATGGTTTAATCCAACAGACATAATTTCCTTCGAAATGCTAAAGTGTCGTGCCTTTTATGCTTTTATAGTCAATGCAAAGTACTGTTACTTACTTTTGATCTTTATAATCATATACCAGTGGGGATGGCTAGAGGCAAGATGATACTTCGAGCTGTTCAAAAAGTGCCTTATTAGCAATTGCTAGTAGATTAACAATTTGGCTGAGATGGTAGCACACTCTTCCAATGTCATGAAAGAATCGAGAAAATTGCCATACAAAACTGGAGTCTAAATGGTGGCCGTTCCACGACCCAAGGGTCTGCTTGTTTGTGAATGTGAAAGACTGTGGTAGTTCACATTGTTAAAGAGTGCCTCACAAACATTTGCTAGTGGATTAATCCCTTAACTGAGTTGATAGAACACTTGCCGTGGTTCAAATTCTGCACACGAGTGGCACAAAACATGAAATTACCACAGTGAGATATGTAAATTGTTACCATACATCATGAATAATCCTCTGTATATTAGTAGCGTATTTTGTAACATAATTCAACACGATTGTGATATAGCTTTTTTTAAAATCCTAATTTCAATAATAACTTGATTTGAAAGACTTTTCGAGCCACTATCATAAACTATAGGAAATGGTAATTAAATTTGAGAATAATGTATAAAACATTACGTTTTATAGAGGTAGGTAAGTAATATTCTCTAAAACTTTGAACTAATGGTGAATAACTTATTTTAGTTTTCGTTAATATAACTTTAGCCTGAGAATCCTTCTGGGTGGAATAACATCGTCTTGAAGTCAATAAATAATATCATTTAAATTTTTCGAGACTCACTCACTCGGGGCTGAAAATGTTAGTTCAATTTTAATCGATATTTTTTTTATCGAGAGTTCGACTAAAGACAAATTAAATTGCTTAAATAATCAAGTAAGTATTGAAAATGGTGTGTACATATTGTTTGTACCAGTAAAAGGATGAAAGTCATTTGATCACCTAGAGAAAGTAATTTTTTTTTTTTTTTTTACAGATCTGTGGCATTCAATTGATTCCACCTACCGTATTCCTTGGACCACCCCCTCAGAGACCTCAACAACCAAAGGGGTCATCATCACAAAGCTATTAATGTAATTAAATACAAGAGGTACAGTATTCTATTTTTTTCTCCAACAATGTAAGGTTTCACAGTTTCTTTTAACCACTGTCATTGACATTTTGTGTTATTTCTGTTTCGTGTTCGGAATTCAAACAACCCTATTCATCCAATGGAACTAATTTAAATAACGAACTATTTTTCACTACGAATATAGTTGCGAAAGCAGTAATATGTGTTGCAGCACGTTATGATATTTCACGTTTTGCCTTTTTCTCTGATTCCAATTATAGAGTTAAATATATTACATTGAAAAAATTTAAATAGCATACTAACTTATTAGATGGCATATTATTAATTCAGTTGTTAATTTTATGATTGTAAATTTGATCTCATATATGTATATATATATTGTACCAGGTTGCAGCTGAAGTAATGGAAGATCACAAGTAAACTTCGTAAGGTAGAACTACCCATTATGCTCTACAACCCTCAACGCACTTAACTTGTGTATATTTTATGTTCTGGTGGGGGGAAGGAGCATATTACGCATTAATGATATTTTGTTTTCACATTTGCATTAACTGAGCAAGAGCATCTTTGTTCCATTGAAGCTACAGTTCTTTCTTATACAAATTAATGAACTTAAATAATTCTGTTACATACTCTTAAGCTAAATTCGTCTGATGTTGTTAAAAAGAACTTGACTGTGTTCCTGGATATGTTTTTTTTTCAAAAAGAATGAATAAATGTATTTACAAACAAGAAGTGGTGAGTCAGTGTATTGGTTATAATGGAAAAAGAATTGTTATGTATCTGCTTGTTTGTTTATTTCCGGTAGAAATTCTTCCGAGGATCTTCAGCGATACAAGTCCTTTCTTGATTAAACCAGTTTATTCTTCCTCCATACAAACTTTTAGTACACAGAAGTTCCACAATCAGTACGTTTCTCGTCACTTTAAGCTTAACAACTTTTATAATGCACGCTATAAATCACAGCGATTCACAATCTCGATAACTTCGCTCTCGTAAAGTGCAAAACACACACTTTATGACTCACTAGCTCGAAACTAAGAGAATCATAAATTACATGGAACTCAAAGTAACTACTGCTCTCTCTCTTCATTCCTTCTGCTGGCTTTCTCTGCCAGGCTTATATACTAACGAAGGGGGCATCTCGAATACACCCGATCATTCGAGAAACTCATCAGCTGCGTCACGTTACTTCCGCTGTCTAATATAAATAGATAGAACTCGAGCGTCATCTAATAATATATTAATGATCAGAAATATTTCTCTTCTTTGTTCTCAGGTCCAACTCTTCCACAATTGCATGGAGTTCTAAACTTCTCAAATAAATAACACAAGTGATTTTAGGTATAGCTTCATCATCAAAACGCATTGTAGGTTTTGAGATGTTTTTACTTAAATAATTTATATATTGTTATCTTAACATCAGGAAAGATTTTACAAAATGACTTTAATGAGACACTATAGTTCACAGGACGGATAATGTTTTTTCATTACCATTCTCTGGTTTGCAACACATTTGAAGTGGAAGTACATCAGATATTGAAAATAAATCATATAATTTATGATGCAGGTATTTGATTTTCAAATATAACTCAACATAAAACTTTTGACTTTTCTGCAAAACATTATTTAAGAGAAGAAACTATAGTTTCATCTCATAATATATTGTGAAAAAGAATGAATCCACAAGGTTCTGCGTGGACTACCAGAAGGTGGATGAAGTCACAAAAAAGGACATCTACCTACTACCATGGATTCACTCTACTTTGGATGCTCTAGGTTAAAATGTTTCTCAATATTGAATCTTAAGAATGAATACTTACTTGCAAGTGTAAGTCGACAAATAACAACCTTTACTGCAGAAAATGATTTATGGTAACTTGTTTTCTTACTATATGCATTATTCAATGCACTTACTACACTTAAGTGACTAATGAAATATGTTCTCAATTTACTATCTGGAATAGCGTACTCATCTACTTACTTTATCACACATAGAAAGATTTCAATGATACTTGTGATGGGCTAATTAAAGTATTGGATTGCTTAAAGGAAAAGAACCTTAACCTGATTCCCAAGAAATGTGAATTATTCCATCAACAAGTAAATTTTCCGAGACATGTAGTCAGTATAGAGGGAGTGTTTACAGTTCAGCCTAAACTGAATATTTCTAGAATTGGCCAACACCACAGAACTTGTATGAGGTAAAAGGTTTTTTTGGATCATTAATTCTGAAGTGGCATTCAATAAACTGGATATAAAATTCACTACTACTCCTGTAGTAGCAAACCCAACACTTGCTGATCCATTCATGACAGGTGTCAGTGATTTTTTAATGGTAATGGTGTTATCATAAGTACGACACGGGAAAAAACATGTGATTGTTTATTATAACATAGCGATAAATGTTGCAAAAAAAACAGTTATTGTACAACAAAAAGACTATTAAGTGTTGTTCAATTCACGAATCATTTCCTTTATTACTTCTGGAAACCAAAGTTTACACTCTGGACGGATCATGCACTATGGAAGTGTTTGATTAATTTTCACAATCCAGAAGGTCAGATAATAAGATGGCTCCAGAAACTTCAAGAGTACAATTTCAGTATTGTGCATCACCATTGTTGGAAACATGGAAATACTGATGTATTACTACAAATACCTTTATTGACAAAGAATGTAAACAATGTGGAAGAAGGAATGCACAAGAAAGTAAAAACAGCCTGCCTAAAGTATAACAGAGCAAATTCAAGATGGGATACCCATAAATAACGAACAACTAGTGTGATTCAAGCCTCAACTCAAATATGCTTAAACAAAGAATATGAATATTGAGCTGATTATTTAACAAATCAGAAATCGTGTATAATGATTCTCGTGGCAGACAGTGGCTTCATACAGTTCAAAAATGTAGTGGGCACACTGGGATTCGTTATGCCTATGAGAATGCTTGTTATGTCGAAAATAGGAAGATACCAGTGTACAGATATCTAATAAGTACTTCCACAGTAACAAGCACTATGTCACCTTCACAACCTTCCAAAAACTATTAAGAAGACGGTGGAGTGAATAGGAGAAATTTTCTAATATGTTGGATCTAGAAATCTGTAATGACCTGGTGTAAACGTGTGAACTGTGCTGTGAGCAAAAACATCCACAAACGAAACAATATAGGCAACTGCAGCAGTATTAAGTTACAGCACCACTTGAAGAGTTGCTATTGATGTGCTTGGTCCTATACCACAAAGAACAGTAAGAACAAATACATCTTAGTGGTTGTCTATACTGGCTACTGGGGTTGACAGGAGTGTTTTATACTGATATCTCCACCAAACAAAGACAAGAGGGAATTTTGATTGACCACCAACATTTAGACAAAATGTGCGGTATACCAAAATCCAATGTTGCATACATCACCAACTATTCTAAACAAAATTTACAGAAGGCAAATATGCTTAACTCATATTATTGTGTGCAAGAAAATAGTCTGCCCTTGAAAAGGACTCGCCCCTCTTCACGATGTCAAACACAGGGCCAAAGATATATGAGTTTTAGATTTTGTATACAACTTTACCTGAAGGATTAGCAGAGGTTTGAAGCCTTTTGACATTCACATTCGATTAGCAAAAATCATAATACATACAGAACACCTGCACTAGTTATAAAAGGGTGCAATTCATGACTATTTCAGTTGTTACACCAGTCCTCCTTTGATTACTATATTTTGCTTCTTCAACAAAGAGAAGAAGAACAATGATAACTTTACCACATTTTAACTGTTTATTGATTTTAATCTAGAACAGATATTAATCTTCTGTTTTTAATGTGGTATAAGAGTATTTAGATCTGTTCAGAAACATTAATATAGTAATATTCAGCGTCCGTGTGTGTGTATGTCACGTAACTCGTCCTAAACCGCTGGCCACACCGATTTCTATGTGGTACCAAATGAATCGTCTGGGTCCAGACGTTTGCACAAAAGTAAAATGTTTCACCCACCTCTTGGGGTACCCGGAAATTTCCCGAAAAGTCCTTCTTCTAAACTACTGTACTCACCAATGTCTAAATGGTGCCAAACGAATCGTTTCGGAACCGAAGTTTACACAGAAGTAAAACTTTTCCCACAACCCTTTAGGGAATCAGTGTATTTCGCGAAAACACTTGTACGAGAACTTCTTGAAAGCGGTCCGCAAATTTGTCATTAATTTACATTGGAGCATGTAAATAAGTAGGCTTATCAAATAACTTTCCTAACTTGGTTAAGGAAATTAAACTTGCATTGTAGCAGCAATGATCAGTGCAAAATAGTAGTTCAAACATTAAATTTGCATTATAGCGGCCCTGTAAATGTGAGCCATAGGCCCATGGGTTCGCTAGTAAAGATAATAGTGTTCCACCATTTGGAATAGTCTTGTTCAAAAGTTCGGCACTGTATACAGAGTCATAGCAGTATTACTTCATCGTTCTAACTTGTCTGGAGTCACTACCGTGCATCTAGATTTCTACCTCTATATGCTAAAAAGTTAAGTTATTTGTATGCTATGTAAGCTTTTAAAAGAAAATTATCTTCACTTTAACAAAGTTTTTGTCTTTTATATAAGTCCTCTATTTTGGTGTAAGTGCAAGGAAAGACATAATAAGCAATTCTTAATAGAACAAGTAACTTTTTATATAACACTGCAAATAATACAACAATGCAAGAAAAAAATATCTAGAAATCGACTTATAATTTCATGTCAAAACCCTATAACGTGTTTTTTTTTGGGGGGAGGGGAGAATTTTTGTTCTTGTTTGCTTGTTTGTTATTCAAACACAAAACTACGCAATAAGTTATATATACTGTGACCACTGTGTGTATTGAAACCTGGTTATTAACGTTATAAGGTCTGAGATTTACCCTTGGGCCATTTAATTAAGTTATTGTTAATTATCTATTGGTTTTATTCGGGACGAACAATACTAAGAAAGGGGCAGTATTACGACAGCGGAATATGCTAGTGAATCTAAATACAATAAATGATATCATAAGTTTCGACTCTAACTGCTCAACTTCGACGCCATTAGTACCAGTTGATACATTCATTTACATTGTATGTCACAGTATATTCAACAAAAATTTGGTGAAACAGTAAGAGCATATTCTATTACCGCATAATATTAAAGAATACAACTATACCCTTCATTTAATTTTTCTTTCCACCAATAGTAGCGATGTCACATTCGTCAAGTTTAATTTTTAACTGGTTCATTGAAAGTTTAGAGTATTTAGAACCCATGATACTTGCACATTGAAAACGAGGCTGCTAAATGTCAGGTAGTGTTTACGTGCCTTTTATTAGTAGACATCGGAGCCGATAAAGACCACCATAGGCAATGAATGGTATTTATATATTTGTTTATGTGCAATGACTTTGGCGTAATTACAATGGCTACATTGATATCGTTTGATGGATAATTTATTAAATACTTGCCATTGAAATGAAAATTCTGTTTTTTCCGGGTCAGTTGCATCAGTGCTTTTAAATCGTTGTGTTTTAAACATATTCTTCAGTTGTAGTACCAGTTAGAAACTGCCATTTATAAATGTCTAGTATTATTAAATTAGATGAAGTATTATTAGTATTTAAAAGAGTAATATTGGATTAGCTATTATTAATCAGTAACCTCCAATATATTTATTGGATAGAAATTCAACATGTACATGTGTTATATTTACTCTTCACTAAATTTTAAAATAATATTTAAAAAAGGTCCCTGGGTGGGTTAGGAGAAACTTGCGGATTTACAACAATAAAATCCGAAGTTCGAAACATTCGTGAACAGAGCTCAGATCACTCATTGTGTAGCATTACACTAACAAACATAACAACAATTTTTTTTTTAAAAGTAACAAGAAAGAGATAGAGTAAGAATTGGTATCTATTAAAAAAAAACTTGGTTTATTTTCGAGTTTACAGTTAATATCATTATTTCCAGAAGGTGGTAGCACGTACTTTTGGTTACAAAGTTAAATACAAACTTAGTAACGCTGGAGAGTGTAGGGTTGTTATAACATATTTATTCAGTTTAGTTTTTGTTTGATATTAATATTACTGTACACATAATTTAGTTTAATTTTTCTGCTAAGAAAAGTTTAATATTGTCTTCGGGTGTTTTATTCTGAATCTTATAATATTTCCTTTTCAGATTTTATAATTATTATTAATAACATATTTAATTTATAATTATATGTTTTCTCAAACTGGAGTTTGCGAAACAGTGAAATATTCAAAAAGTTATTGTGTCTAACTACTATTATTATCTAAATCCATGAAAATATGTTAGCGGCGGACTCAATCTACTAAGACTAATAGTATTTGTAAGAGTAAAAATAGGTTACCTACTCCGAATATATTATATAAGTAATAGTGAGTAATACTAATAAAGACAATGGAAAGAAAGTCAATCGAAAAAACAACAAATAAAATTACACAAACAGATAAAGTAAAAAAAGTATTTTGGAAAATAGTATCAATAACAGCTAAGCCAATTGTTGAAACCATGTAAACAAACTGTTATTATTACAGTTTTCTAATCAGTGGCTTCCATTTATAGTTATACTAGTTATAGGCTTTCCCTTATTGCCAACACTTACTACTAAATCCTACTGTTCTGTTTATCCTTTCTTATATTTTGTTTGCTTTCTACATTTGTATATATTTCAATATGATTTCTAATCATTGGCTAAATATAGGCCTTTTTTTATTGTTTATACCTGTTTGTATAATTTTCTTTGACCATTTTTCAGATTGACTTTTTTTCGTTGTTGTTTTTATCCATGTCTTTATTACCACCACTGATATGCTTCATAATTAATAGGATTAAGACTTAAAAAAATAAAAGAATAAGACTGAGATAGCATTAGAATAAGTCAACAACATTACTATTGGATGTTGACACTATGATATTGACAGTATTATAACTTGTAGTCTCAAGATATGTACTCAAAGCTATGAAGCTATGTTTTGCAACATTTTAGTGAGATTTCTTACTTTAAATTTGAAATTAAATCAGCCTCTTTGAAACAATTTTTATCAGTACTAGCTCTGAAATAAAATTAATCAAAAAGTAAAATCTAACTCATTTTAATTTTTAGTTGAGTAATTGTCATGTTTTATTAAACATTCAATGTTGTAAATTATTGCTTTGAAAATAAATTTAATTTCATTAGACCAGTGGATTTTACTGATGACACCCTAACCCACTTACCCTGATCTGTGACATCCCTGCTGCCACATGTAATATATATATATATTTTTATGTTCTTAATTATTCTTCATTTGGTGGAACTCTTGTAACATCCCTAGCAACTTTTTTTAGTGCACATGCACATGATATTTGTATCATATGGCCTAAGGTCATTTTATACGGCAACGCTTGAGAGAGATTGGAACTTGCTGTGTTTCAACCTCTTTGGTGTAGAGAGTATTTTCTGACCCTCAAGTCTACCAAGAATATGGAAGTGTTTTTAAAAATGCTAATACATATCTTAAACAAAACAGCTTTAGCTTGTTAATGCATACAGTGCATGTATTAGATGTAGTTACAATGTTTATTTATATATCATAATTTAAATAAGTTAAATTTAAACATTACCGTGCTTCACATTGACACCAAAGCAAACTCTTAACATATAATCATGTACAATATATAAAAATGTATTTCATTATTTTCACAAGTTTTAGTTACATTTCTTAGATCAAACCAACTTTTATTCTTTACAGCTATTGAACAACTACTGAAGCATACTGTGTAACTTCAATTGTGTTTGATACTGGCTAATTAATGGCAGAATAAATATTATAATTTAGGGTATTTGTTTAGGCTGTGACTGAATGAAACATTCACTGTAGCTACAGCTGTTTCTCAGGATTTTTAGATGCATAACATAAAACATTATCTGGGTATATTGTTTTCATTATGTGTGTGAAAGTTTATTTTCAAATTGCACTAGGTTGTATTAAACAGATGAGCAAATGTTCTCGGTTTTTTAAGTTTTTGTAAATGTAAATTTAGTGCATAAATGTAATTAAAAAACATAACTTTCTTTCTTGTAAGTTCTTGATGTGCTGTATTATTTCTTGCACTCATGGTACATTTTTAAATTTTGTCATTTGAGAATTATAAACTAGTTTGGTACTTGCAATTTCAGATTAACAGATAGAACAAATATGGAAAAAACTTCACTAGAAGTTAGGTGAAGAAAAATTGAAACTTAACTAGTATATGTTGTAACTTGCTTAATACTTAATTATTTGGTATAATATCTTTCATGTGTGGATAGATTCCTGTTTTAAGACATAGTTTGAGTACAAAGAAGAAAATTATTACATATGCATGTATGAGGATTTTGGTTTTTCTATTCAGTCTAATCAAATGTAATATATTTCTCTGCCTGGAAAATGTTGCTAATATGATTGGAAATACCATAAACAGAATTAAGACATTATGGAAAACCCAAGAGATGTGATCATTCCAAGTACATCGTCACCTGTTCATGTACACATAGACCAGGATACTCCATTGTATGTACATGTTGTAAAAAAGGTCAGTTCATTGTTCATACTAAATATTTCTCAAATAAACAACTACTGTATTTGACATTTGTAAAACTGTCAGTAAAAAATCTCTGTTTACTATATTGGGCTATTGAAAGATATGTAGAAAGTTCATTTACAACCTTAAGTATTTATATCTTCCCCACCTTTTTCTTTAATAGTTGTTAATTAATATATAGCACTATTTATTCCAGAGCTTAAATCAACAATTAACAGTTTATTAAACTTTTTATCTGTACATGTGACACATTTATTTCATTCTTTTACATTTTAGTTTTGACCCTTTAAAATGTTCTTGTATTTGTGGACTTCTTTCCATGAAATAAAATCGTAGTTCATGACTGATAGAATTGTTTTTCTTTTATCAGGTCCTTCAAACATACTTTCAGTAATAATTAACAACTGACAATCATGCTTATTTGCTTTACAAATAATGTTTAAATAAAATTCTGGATATTTTTCATATATTCATATGCATTCACGTGTATGACCTAAAGGATATAGATAACATATTCTGCAGTGAAAGTGAAAGAAATGTGCATTTGGGGAAAAACTGTTTAAATGTTTCCTGTTCTTATAAGTTTTAATTTGTATCCAGAATTATGTTTACAAATACTAGAAGCTTTTACATTAAGTTGTTTGAATACTGTGGTAGGACTTAGACTCTGTTTGGAGTTTAGTTGTCTTTGTTATTATCAGGTCTAGACTTAATCAAGATTATGAAATTGCTAGTTTAGAAGCTTTTAAAATTCTAAAGTTCTGTAAGAGCCATGAAAATAAGAAGGGGGATATTTGTGTTTCTCATAAATAGGTTGAAAGCTTTTGAGAGAAATGACACTGTTGAAGATAGTGAAAGTGTAGTGTATGTTTCATTCAATGCTCCTGATAGAAAATAACAAAAATACTTACTGGCATTTTTTGCAAGCCTTCTGACAAGAGTTTTGGCACCAACAGCAGGTTAACTACTTTGCCAACAGACATATATATTATCAATTGAGGCTAAATTTATAACAAAAAATTGCTTGAAGAATATCTTGAAAGTTTTTGGATATTTTTAGTAAGTTAGAGAACGTAGTTGGAAAGATATTATATACTTTGTTTTTAGTAATGTAGAAAATATGGCAAGAAATGTTGAAATGGAACAACAATTCAGAATTAGCGATTAAATTTTCCAACTTATCAGCTTGTTCATAAGGCAAATGTATGTATTTTTTTTTATAAAGTGCTTCACAAGTAATTAATTAGAAACTGGATCCTTATTGAAATGGATAAGTTAAGAAGTGAGTGGTGATCAAAGAAATATTCTTTTCTTTTATGAGAATGTGACTAGTGAGATCCCTCAGGAGACTGTTTTTGGACTTTTGTTGTGTTTAGAAATTAAATACAAAAACTTTTTAAATTTCCGTGATTAAATCAGTGAAAGTTAAAAACATGAAAAATGATTATTAACAATAATCAGTGTGTATGAAACATTATCCAATCACTCACACCCGAGTTTTAATCATTAATTATAAATGTAGTAATTTATAGTGCAAGTCTAATGCATGCTGTTGTAAACAAGTAATGTATACATTCTATCAAAACATATTGAAGCTTCACTATATAATGGCAGTCCATGTTGCCAAGTCAAGTCATGCTCTATCTGATGATTATGTATCCCTGTAGTGTAGTTTTCATTACAAAAGGTTCTCTCATAAGGCTTTTGGATTCAAACCACACACTTCCTCCTTGCTGAATTCCATGATCCATTTAATGTATAAGTTGACAGTTTCCCAGTATCTGTTGAAACAGATGTATTCATATGAAATAGCAATGGTCAAACTGGGATGTTATGAGAGTAACTTGTGTCACTTTTCAAAGTGGAACTCCTTGATTTATTTACAAACTGTTGCCTGAGACATGTGGATGGCTTTTGATATTGACCTTTGTATTATGGCTTTTGTTAGAAAATGGTGCACAGCTGGGACTTGACTTGTTTGAGCTCTCTTTCTAGGATTGTTCTTGTGACCCAAATTGATCCATATTTCTTTGTTTTCCAATTCCATTAAATATAATGAATGTTCTCATCTTAGAAATTCTAAATCCCTTATGTTAACACATCTTTACGATCAAAATGTATGAATGTTTTGCACATTGGAAACGGCTGTTAATACCCTTCCCAAAACTGATCAGTTTTTGGTGGCATCACCTAACCATAAAATGCTAAACAATGTCAGAATCTAGTTCTGATACATTCCATTCCACTGTGAATTTATATCAACTGTGGTTGTTTTGTGATTTGCTTGTCTGCATATTCAGATTAATTATAACAAACTCAACTCTCTGTATTAAAAGGTATACCACCAAAATGTTCCAGTTTTATAAAAAATTATCCTAAATACTATCTTTGAGAAAAAAAAGTGAAAAACCGTAATAAAGTATGTTTCTACAATATTTTTTTTTTTTTAAATATGTTTTATTACTTGGGTATTATTCTTTAAATCATTTAGAGTGTAAATATACTATACTTGTTTTTTCACTTTTTAATACTTGAAATTTTAGGACCTTGGTGAATAATATATTAATATGCATTACAATGCTTCACCCTCTAGCCCAGTTCAGTAAGTTCAACTAATGCAGCTGTTAGTATTTATAAACAAAATCTTCGTGGAACAAATGAAACACTTATCAGAGATCATTGGATACCTCCTCCAGCCAAATCATCTAGAATTAACATTTTAGGAAAGGTTTGTGCAGTAATTATTGATTGAATATTGTACATTCTACTTCTACAAGTTAGCTTTCCATTTTAACACCAAAGCCATATTTAAACTTTTAGATTTTTTTTTAATTGTTCAGTTTGAAAAATGCTGTAAAATTCTAGAAGTTTGTGAATATTAAAGTAAATGATTTATAATTTTTTAGAATAGCCTTAACTGCTCGAGAAACATAAATTGCCTGAATACTCATAATACAAGTATTTACAGCTTTGTTTTTTTACACACTAATTATTTTAAATGATAGGCACTAAAAATTGATTTATAATTGATAAGTATATACCCTGTAAGGTAAAAATGATGATCTAGAAGTAGAAAAGAAATCAGAAGAGTATTTTTCTTCTCAGTCTTTACACAAGAATGGTTAATTTGTTTATAGTATGTACTTGATGCCATCTACTTATACTGTAACTAGGCTTCTAATTTCCAAAAAACACTTACCTCCACTCCCATTTTAGCTTTATCTCGAAGAAAGGTTTTCTTCTTTGCCCATCTAAGCATTGGTATGAATTCTACCTTGCCTGCCCCAGTCTGTTTGTAATTAAGCACAAAGCTACACAATGGGCTATCTGTGCTCTGCCCACCACGGGTATCAAAATCTGGATTCTAGCATTGTAAGTCAGCGGACATACCGCTGTGCTACTGGGGGTGCCCCAGTCTTTATACCCCACTATGTCACCCCTAGTGATTTTAATCTTGTGACTTTCTCCACCTACATCAATGCGCTCTCTGTACCCAATCCATATAAAAGCTCTTCGTTATTCTTTTTTATTAATTTTTTCTTGACGACAAAAATTACGAAGAGGGTCTTAAGTGTTAACTGCAGGTTTTCTCTTCAGCACTATTAATACATTTACAATGTTATCTTTTGCATTATTTTTTATCTTTTTCATGGGGCTTGAGTTTTTTGTTTATTTTCTCTTGATTTTATGATTAAAAAATATATATTTATTAAGAGACAGTTTTCGAATATGAATGCTCACATGGACTCGTCTGATGCCCCAACTCTATCACCTCACGAGTCTAAAGTTACCCAGGCTTTGGGGGAGCACCTTCTGTGGAGGACATACAGTTTTTTATATGCAGAGAGGTAGAGTTTTGCATGTGGTCTGATGCTTTTTCTCCTGTTGGCTCTGAGATTAAACTTGTGGGAGTTCAAGGGTGGACTAGTGAGAATTTAGACTCTATTTTTCCAGCACCTTCCTTTGCTCAGACAGGTACTCATGAACCTTGGATGGACATTCTGCCTCCTACACCCTTTTTTACAACTAGTACACCATGTTTGTAATGTTTTGAGTATTTCTCCTGTGGCTTATGAATCTTCACCTTCTTTATTGGAGAAACTAGCTCATCTGATTACCTGGTCCTTCCACCTTCACCAGATGTTGCTGTTCATGCAAGGAGATTTTCAGATCAGTTGAGGGAAGGTGCTGCCATGCCTTATCCTCCTGGTTTAATGGATCAGCATGGCTTTGCTTTCCATTGCCTGGAGAACTCTTATTTGGACTCTCAGAGGTTAGACCCTTTACTTCCTATGTCCACTGTTCATCTTAATCAATCTCAGTTTTCCAGAATTCGTCTGTCACTTATAACAATTTTTCAATTTTTTATCAACTTTGTAGCTATTGCTTGAAACCTATTATAGATCCCCTGCTCAAATTTCAGAGGATCTTAGTCATCTGTTGACTTCCATTTTGGTCGGATTATTGGCTTCTGCACTCTCCTTGGTACCTTGCTGGGATCTTTTGGAGATAGATACCTTACTGGAAGGATTTCACCTTCCTACATTGGGCCTTAGAGATCTCAGAGAAGCTCCTTTTCTCAGACAGTCTATTTTTGCAGGAATTCCAGACTCTATGGAATCTTGAGTAGATGTAGCCCATCTACATTCTTCTCTTTCTGCACTAGCTTCTCAACTATTCCATAGTTTTTCTACAGGACAGTTTACTGCATCACCCATTCAATTTTCCAGTCCTCCTGCTCTGGCATCATGATCCATTGGAACACAATGGTGATTTTGACCTTACCAGCAAGGATCCTCCTCCATGGTGGAGCACAGATTTTGGCATTGGTGACTACCTTATGTGGTTAGGTCCTGTGTGATCTCCTCTCAGGGGGTTCGTGTCAGTATGAGAGACCTTCATCACAGGTCAGTGGGTCATTCAGTTCATGTCTCCTCCTCCATTGTCTCATACAGGTTGGCTTTCCACTCCCCAAGGATCCTATTACATATAGCCATTGAGTTCAAGCTATCCAAGATCTTTCTGGCTGTTTATAGTACCAAAATTAGATGGACAATTGGCAACTGGTCTGAATTGAATCGTCCAGCCTCCTCAGTTTACAATGGAGTCATTTTTTCCTTTTGGTAGCTCTTTTCACCCTGACTATGGAGGACAAAATTCAACGTTGTAGGTGCCTACCTTCAAATCTTGATCACTGTGTCTTCAAGGCATTATCTCTGTTTCATGCATGACAACCAGGTTTTCAGTTTTTGCTCTACCAATCAGCCTCACATCTGTTCATACATTTCATGATGGATAGTTAGAGCTTTTTCATGTCATCTATCTCCCTCAGCATTCACACTCACAATTACATGGATGACTAGCTTCCTCTCGCCCCTTCCTGACATTTGGCAGAACTGCACACTCAAACTCTGTTTTCAGAAGCTTCGAGGGCTGGGTTTCTTGTCAGAAAGGAGAAGTCTATTCTTACTCCCACACAGTACCTCATCCATTTAGGGGTGTTTTTCAATTCCAGACTAAGCCAAACCCAATCTCATCTTCTGCACATTCAGTCATGGAATGAGCAGTTCTTCCAATACAGTTGTCTCCTTCTCCATCAGCACACACATAGTTCTATCTTTTTTGGGGATGTGGGCATCCTTGGAATCACTCGTTCCTTTAGGTCAGGCTCACTTGGGGGTTCTTCAATGGTCATTACAAAACCAGTGGAACATTTGCACAGATACGCTACATTGTCCAGTGAGTCTGTCAGATTCCAGTTTGGTGGTTGAACAGGGACAACACAACAGTAAGTGTCCCTCTACCACCTTCATGGCCAGAGATACATATGTTTACAGATGCTTCTCTTCAGGATTGGGGTGCTTGTATAGAACATATGGAATTCAAGGGACTTTGGACAGTAGAGGAAGCTGCTCTCCACATCATTCTCTTAGAACTTTTAGCAGTTCAACGAGCTATGAATCAGGGTCTCAAATTGTTGTGAGGGAAGTTGGTAATGCTTCATTTGGACAATTCCATAGTAGTCTTGTACATTTCAAAGCAAGAGAGCACTCATTCCTTATCTCTTTCTTTTTGAACAGTGGATCTTCTCCTTTGATCACTCAAACACCAGATAGTTCTCCTTGCTTGTCTTGTTCCAGGTGTAATGAATCTAGTGGCTGACCAGCTATCTCGTCTCAACAGAGCTCTTTCTACAGAATGGATGTTTCATCCCCAAGTTTTTTGTTGGATCTGCTGTTGTCAAGAAAATCTTGAGCTCTTTATGATCTACTTTGATGTAACAATTGAGATTATTGGTGAACAATATATAGCATAGTCTCAAAGACCAGCCATTTGTATTTCAAATCACAATTACAATGATATATTTAAATGTCAGACAGGAATTACATTTTGTCTCAACAACTATTACTGTCAGATATTAAGTTATATTTGCCAATTGTCAATTAAAGACTGTTACTTATACTTGTTAATAGTATAAATATATACTGTGTTGTTGGGCTCAGAATTCTTCTACAGTAGGTGTCTGTGACTTGTTGGTGATAAATGAACAGCACACACTCAATTTATTTTCAAAATAATATATACATATATATTTGGAACAAGTTAAACGTATGTACAACAATTTTTTACATTATTAGAGATTATAGGCATATCATAAACAATATATATATATAGTTTTCTTCTTGTCAAAAGTCCATTTTGGCCTATTCAATTGCTTTAGAATTTCACTTGACAAGCCAAACTACCTTTCTGTATTTCTGTTGCACTGGTATTCCATGTATAATTCACTTACAATTATAGCATGAGTTACCATAGTCATATACTGCTCTTCCAGCAATCGTCTGGTTCTCATACTTCAGATGTCGTCTATTCCTTTTGTCAAAGTGTACTCAGGCTGAGTCAGTTATTTTAAAACTTGCTTCAGTTGATGGAATAAACTGCACTTCTTAGCTCTTTTAAAACTGTTAGTTTTCCTGTAACATATTAAACGTTAGGCCTATCACTTTTACGAACTTTTCCTTGGCCGTGACTTTACTCTCTTCTGCTATTGTCTGTCTGCTGTTTTCACTCATCTCACAATATTTATATGTTTATCACTTAATTGTCTGCCTGCCTTCTGGAAATTTCTATATTCTTGATGTCAATGTATTGCATGCGACATTCAACAGTCTCAACATCAATGAATTATAAACACAACTTCCAATAATTACCTGCTTTTAACACACTTATTATAAAAAAACTAAGCAATCATGAAATACTGACTCACAAAATAAGTTAATCAATAATATCTTCACTAAACAGTCTTTTCTATCATGACAATTACAAATAGTAACAAACAGTGACAGTTGGCTTAAGGAAATTTGTGTGACAGAAATGAGCAAAGAGAGAACAGGATCAGAAAATATTAAGCATTAACTTGAACAGATATACAAATCAGTGGAGTTGTATTGTGTTCACCTTACCTGTTTTAGTATTAGTTTCACTATAATAATAAAAGCCTCTATCTTTACCATTACATATTCATCAAAAACACCTGAAAAATGCAGAATTCTCTTTAATAGAGAGTTAAATCTTGCTCCATGTTAATACTAATTTTTGACAATTTGTATCACCAACACTTATTTGATAAGGCTGACTAATAGCTAAAGCAAGGATATCTGATGATGAAATTTTCTGGAAGCTTTCCTTGCTCTCTAATTTTCCAGGTAGTTGATTTGCTCTCATCATATTGGATAACACCTGACACAGTGTTGTTTGTTTTCCTAGAAATTGACTTGTAGCTCCTACAATTCAACACAGAACTTAGTAGCGTTTCTGCTTACAGGACTTGCAAAAACTTTATTTTTATATTCCATTAACATTTTCAATTTATGGTAGTCAGACTGCTGAGAATGTTTCATTAAAGAATTGCTAAAACACTTATCCATTTTCCATTAGAATGATAATCTAGGTGTTTAAATCCCGTTGTTTTACTCTTTCTTGCACACTTTGTTTTCATGGAATGTGGAATATCCCTATATTCTAATTTATCAAACAGAAAACACAGAAATTCCCAATTCTATTATAGAAGTGTTGGATGTACAAAGTTAATTTTAGAATAATAAACAACAAGTGAAAAATTACTTGTTGGTATTACAGAATTTTAGTTTTCAGGCTATTGCTGCATGTACTGAATACTAATTAAGTGTACTAGTGTATAGCCCATCAAAAATGACAAAGCAAGTACTACCAACTTCCACCCCATAGTATATCCTAACCTCACAATTCATTGCTAACTGAAATAAATAAATTTTGCAAAATCAAGGTTCACCAACAAAGAGGCAGAAAAGTGCAGTCTAGGCGGTCAATCATCAGTAAATTCCTTTGTGAGCTAATCAAATTTAAGATCATTTATGAAATAAATCCATGGCATATTCATAGAATAATTATTGATAAAAATCAATTAGATTAACAACTTCTGATATATAGAAAAGCCAGTGCTTTTTGGTAACACTACGTTCCAACAATGACTTT